AGGCTTATTTGTATATATATCCATGCCAAAGTGCTGGAAAGGAAGGAATATCTTTTACATATCAAATATATGTCATGTTATTAGTCCAAGTAATAAAAGGAGTTCAAAGGTTGGGGCTATTTAAAATTAAATGCATGATTACTGGATAAAAGCAAGTATCATATAGAAGCAAGTATCAGAAAATTTAAGCAAGCACCAATAATCCAAATAGTAGAAAGACAGCAAGAATGAGATATAAACATATGATAATTACTGGATCTATTTACATACTAGAACATATGGAAGATACGACCACCAAAAGTCAGTCTCACTTTCGGATTTGATATCTTTAATCTCTTGTGCTAATTGCCTGTTAATCTCGTGCTAGCCTCCTTGTGGTGAAAAATAGGGTTTAATATGTGGTAGTTCGCTTCATACTCTTTAGTCCATTTTTTTTGATATCTACTTGGTCCTCAATCTTCCAATTCTATCTAATATCCACCACCTCTTCTTCAATCATCAACATTAGGTTTGAATAAACTATTAACACTTTTCGATTTTGTCCCCAAACTTTGGATTAAGTCGATTTTAGCCAAATTTTAGCTCATTTTGTCAACTTTCATCGTTTTCATCAAGATGCACCTAACAAACGTAATATATACAAAATTAAGCCTCAATTCATTTAAAATAACAATAATGCTCTAATTTAATTATTGAGATAAGTGTATAAACATCTGATGTAAGGGTCTCTTTGATTGCAAGAATGGAATTTGGGTTAAAAAAAAAGAAGAATTCGTAATAATTGAATTGCCCAGAACTTGTTTAACTGTGAATTGTCAATTAATTGTGTTTGATTGGTATAAATTTCATCTGAAAAATATTGAAATATTGAATCTTTTGGTGTTCGTTTGGCTTTATTTTTCATAGAAATTGTCCATTAAATGGATATAATTTGTTACAATTGAGTATAGAATTTGTTTTCATTGCAAAAAAATAAAAAAATAAAAAAAAGCTACCTAGAAAAACTTTTCCTCAAAAACCAAAAAAATGTGAGTATGTGGGTGAAAGATGGAAAACCAATTCCATGGAAAATTTGGACAATGAAACATGAAAAAATGTGGAAAATAGAATTTAACTTCCATCTTCTATGGAATTGAAGTGCAATCAAACATGGCCTAAAATTTTTTAGATAAAACTTGAAATTTATGTATATCCACACTAGAATCTTATCCTCGTGTAGTTAGATTTTTTTTTGAATTCGAATTTCATGATAAGTTTGTTTGTAGAAGTTCAATTTAAACTCATGTTTGAGCCACATTAAAATTTTCATTCGTATTCTTCTACTCATTTTCACCCACACATTTTTCAATAAAATAATATTTTCTATCATATCAATAACTTTTCCTTCTTTTTCAACCACATATTCTCCATCAATCTACTATTCCAAAAATATATTCTTCCAACATAACGTGGCTCAAACACACATCAAATTGACGTAATCAATCTAAAATAACAAAAACTATCCTTTGCATGTGTGCTAATGATATATTTATGCTTTATTTGGTACACATTATTTTTTTCATTCTCATTCTTCTACTCATTTTCAACCACACATTTTTCAATAAAATAATATTTTCTATCATATCAATAACTTTTCCTTCTTTTTCAACCACATATTCTCCATCAATCTACTATTTTAAAATACATTCTTCCAAAATAATGTGGCTCAAACACAATAAAGGTCCGTTTGATTGCAAATGTGGAAAATTGGTGAAAAGAAAATGTTTTACAGGGAAGTGATTTGCCTAGAAATTATTTTACTGGAAATTGTAATTAATTCTGTTTGATTAATATAATTTTCCATGAAAAATATTGAAAGTTTGGTATCCATTTGACTTCGTTTTTTATGGAAATTTTCCATTAAAGTGAATTTTTTTTACCATTGGGTCTAGAATTTGTTCCAATTGCCAAAAAAAAAAATTTTTTGAAAAAAAAAATTATCATACTGAATATCATTCGTTTGACTTTATTTTACATGAAAATTGTCAATAAAAGTGATAAATTTTTTTACCATTGTATCTAGACTTTTTTCCAATTGTCAAAAAAAAAAAAATGGAAATTTTTTTCCCACCAAAACATCAAGAATTTATTTTCCTCAAAAAAGTGGGAAAAAAATTTTCGGAAAAATTTTGCCTATCAAACACTACAAAAGTTGAAAAATATGGCGAATCAAACGGAGCCTAAAAATCATATCTGAATTCTAAACATGTAATTATCTTTATCTAATCACATCTACATATACATTTTTGTTGTTGTATGTCAATTTGCACAAATTTAGGCCCTGTTTGGTACACATTATTTTTTTTATTCTCATTCTTCTACTCATTTTCAACCACACATTCTTCAATAAAATAATATTTTCCATCACATCAATAACTTTTCCTTCATTTTTAACCACACATTCTCCATCAATTTATTATTCAATAATTATACAAAATTAAGCCTCAATTCATTTGAAGTAACAATGATTTCTCTAATTTAATTATTGAGATAAGTGTATAAACATCTGATATAATGGTCCGTTTAATTGCAAGAATGGAATTTGAGTTAAAAGAAAATGCATTCCTGGAATTGAATTGCCTAGAACTTGTTTTTACTGTGAATTGTCAATTAATTATGTTTAATTTGTATAATTTTTCAATTGAAAAATATTGAATTTTTGGATCTTTTAACATTCGTTTCGCTTTGTTTTCCATAGAAATTATTCATTAAAGGGATATAATTTGTTTCCATTACAAAAAAATAATAATAATAATAAAGTTGACTAGAAAAACTTTTCTCACCAAAGTGGTGGGAAAATCTTTTCGTCANNCAAAACATTAAAAAAAAAAAAAAAGTGAGCACGTGGGTGAAATATGAAAAACTAATTCCATGGAAATTTTGAGCTATAGAACATGCCAAAAAGTGGAAAATAGAATTTAATTTCAATCTTCCATGGAATTGAAGTACAATCAAACATGGCTTAAAAGTGTTTAGATAAAACTTGAAATTTTAGTATATTCACACTAGAATCTTATCCTCATGTAGTTAGATTTTTTTTATTTTTATTTTTTGAAATTCAAATTTCATGATAAGTTTGTTTGTAGAAATTCAATTTAAACTCATATTTGAGTCATATTAAAATTTTCATTCGCATACTTCTATTCATTTTCAACATCACATTTTTTAATAAAATAACATTTTCCATCACATCAATAAAATTTCATCTTTTTTCAATTACACATTCTCCATCAATCTAATATTTCAAAATATATTCTTTCAAAATAACGTGATTCAAACACAATAAGTCATATCAGAATTCTAAATATGTAATTATCTTTATCTAATCACATCTATAGATACATTTTTGTTGTTGTAAGTCAATTTGCACAAATTCAGGGAGTGGAAAGAAAAGGAATGAGAGAAAAATCGTGAGAAAGAGGGAGAACAAAAGAAAAAAAAAATGATAGCTTTTTCAGCTCGTTTCAAGATCCATTGGAAAGAATTTTCGATCCTAAGTAATTCAAGTATATAAAAAATTTAACGAACATAATATGGATTTCTATATGCGCCAAATTATTTTGTGTTTTCGCTTTTAAATGTTTTAAGTTAAGTATTTTATGTATTATTATGTCATCCAAATTAAAGAAGGATTCTGTGGATAATGTCATAGGGTATATTACGTAGATCTACATAGAAACCAACCATAGGGCTAGAGACTCTAAGTGAAGATTAAAAATGGATATGACCTAATTGAGACTGAGACGGTCCGATTTATATCATAATAGAAAATTATGTTATGTGTATAACTCACTTGCTTTTTATATTAAATTGTGAAAATATTGACATGAAGTATGTACTGAGTGTATTCACATGCTCATTCCATATTCTAAATTATTTCTACACAGATGCTTGATTGATTGAAATTGGAGGTTGATACTACTGATAGAGTCGGTGTCCTGGATCAAGAATTTTAATTTTTCTTTCAATATTTAGTTTTTAATTGGAAACATACTTTGCAGGCAAGAATTTTATTTTCAAAATTGATGTTGAAAAATAAGTACAGGATTTATATTTAAGTAGTGAATTGACATTTTATGAGATAATAAAATAGCTTATTGCATTACACATCATTCTTTAAGTTTTTTATTTTTCTCTTACAGATAAAGGAATTATTTGAGTAACTTTCGGGCATTACAAGTTTTATATTAGATGCTTAGCTTTAAACCGTGAATCACTTATTTAGTCATTGTTTAATCTTCAATTTGTTTAAAATACATTTTTCTCTCCATTCTTTTTAGCTATACATTTTTCAATAAAATAATATTATACGCAATCCAAAAACTTTTACTTAATTTTTAAACTTTTACTTTGTAGTAATTTCAGATATACTAGATTATACAACATAAAGTTTGTAAGAAACCCAAAACATTTTTTTTTTCTTTCAAAGATCGTAGCTTCCAATTTCTGCTTAAAATAAAAGAATAATTATAGCAATTTTGAAGTTTACGACTGCATTTAATAATTTAAAGATTTCAATATTCTTACTTTTCAAAACTATATTAAAATTGATTGATTATTAAATATTTCAAAGAATATGTTCAATAAAATTCAATCAAATTATGCTATGTAACAACGTACTATTGGATAGTTAAAAAAAAACACGATTTTTTTAAAACAAAGAGGATATCATGTGAGTAGACCTACTGAAGCACATAGAAATTGCATGTGAGAGAGAAAAAGCAGCTTACTTTTGCAGAAGAGAGAAATAATGCGCTACTCAAACATGATTTATAATTATTCTTTTTTGTCATGTGCGGGTATGTTTTTTTAACCTTGCCATAGATTATGTTTGTGTAGCATGATTGGAGAGAGAGCGGCGTACGACAAGAACGGACGGGCAGAGTTTAGAGATAGAAAATTGAAATCATAGAGAAATATCTTAATTTAAGTTTGGATCCAATTTGTTTAATAGTCAGATAATGCTCAGATTAGCATGCCTTCTGGATCCTATTACAAAGTCATCTAATTGTCAGGTCAACGGACTTCTGGATCCAATTACCAAATCATTTAGCACCACTCAAATGTCAATGCTTATCCACTTCGCGTGAACAAGAACGCCATTCACATTTCTTTGCTTGAGCAATTTTTTGGCCTTCTGAAAATACCCCAGCCCAGATCAATTCATGGCTCATGCTGCTGTCGTCTCTCTTATGCACACTGTTGAGCAGATCCGTCATGGAGATGGAGTGTCGAAACCTTCTAAAAATCAACTGCTTCTACCTCTCTTAGAAAAACTCAGTTCACTGCTGAATTTTCTTGAAGAATCTTCCCAAAGTAGCAGGGAAGATGAGAAATCACTGGAAAGAAAAATCAGACATGCGGCTTATCGTGCAGAAGATTTCTTTGAGTCCCGTATACCGCATCGTCTTCTTTTAAAACAGCAAAATCCTTTTCAAAAACTATTTTATTTTCCTGCAAATATGCAATCTGCTAAAAAGTATCATCTAGACTTGCAGAAAGTAATGACAGAAATTGATACCATTGTAGAAGAGGTGATAGAGATTGAGAATGTGAAGGGCGAACAGAATCTTCAGCCACGGAATTTTTTGCCATCAAGACCTGCTCCTAGTGGCCAGACTAATATGGTGGGATTTGCTCAAGACTTTATGCAGATAAAGGGGAGACTCTGTGATGATCAACAATCTAAACTCCAATTTGTTCCCATTATTGGAATGGGAGGCATGGGTAAGACTACTCTTACCATGAATGTTTTCAATGATTCATATATCAAGTATCGCTTTGATATTCGTGCTTGGGTAACATTATCTCAACAATATCGCATGCAAGACATTCTTCTAAGCCTTCTAGATGACTTTGCTGTTACTGACAGCATACGCAAAGAAGATAGTGACCTTCTAAAAGGGCAGGTATACAAAAATCTCAAGGGTAAGAGATACGTAATTGTGGTGGATGATGTGTGGAGTATCGAAGCTTGGAATGAGATAAAAATGATATTTCCAGATGATAAAAATGGAAGTCGAATCATATTGACAAGCAGGGAAAAAGTTGTGGCTGATTACGTTAACTCTTCTAATGATCATCACCAGATGCGATTTCTTAATGAGGAAGAAAGTTGGAATTTATTTCTTCAAAAGGCGTTCGGCAAAGAAAATTTCCCTCTTGATTTGGTGGATGTCGGAAAAAAGATAGCAAAAAATTGTCAGGGACTTCCATTACTAATTGTGGTGATTGGTGGACTCCTCTCAAAGGCCAATAAGGAAAAAGATTTCTGGGAGTACGTTGCTGAAAATTTAAGCTCATTTGTAGCAGAGGAAGAAGCCCAGTGCTTGGAAATATTATCTTTTAGTTACAAACACTTGCCTGCCCATTTAAAAGCATGTTTTCTGTATATGGGAGTTTTCCCAGAAAATTATGAAATGCCAGTCTCTAGACTCATCAAGTTATGGGTCGCTGAGGGATTTCTAAAGCCACATGAATCTAAACACTTGGAAGAGGTTGCAGAGGATTATCTTGGGGATCTTATTGATAGAAATCTTATTTTGGTTCGTCAAAAAGGGTCTGTTAATGGAAAAGTAAAAACCTGTATCATGCATGGTCTTTTGAGAGAACTCTGCGTGAGGATGGCTCATGAGGAGGAATTTCTTTGTGTGAAGAGCAGGAATCTCTTTCCAGAAAAGGAAACTTTGCTCCGACGTCTAAGTATTCATGATGATGCTTCATATAGTCCCAATGAGGAAGACATGACAATGCAATCAATGTCTCTTGTCCGTTCTTTTATATATACTGGTTGGGACGATACTCAGTTGCATTCTTATTATTATTTTGGTTGTCGATTGCTAAGGGTATTGGATATACTTGGAGTAGTGCTTACAAATTTCCCTGATGAAATACTTCAACTAGTTGATTTGAGGTACATTGCTATCACCTGTTGCCATGAAATTCCTCCTTCTATTGCCTTACTTAAGAAATTACAGACCTTAGTTGTTGAAGAACCACAGGGATTTGCAATTCACCTATCAGAAGAAATTTTTAATATGCCACAATTGAGGCATCTCAAATTCTCTCGAGTTTCCCTGCTGCCTTCTTCCTCTTCCCCATTAACGAATAGTGATAAATCTTTCGTTCTAGAAAACCTAGAGACACTCTCAAAGTTACAAGATTCAGGATTGGCAAAACACTTCCTTGAAAAAATTCCAAATGTAAAGAAATTGGGAATTATTTATAATGCTGATACGTGGAATGCCTATTACGATCGTCTCCATAAACTCGAAACACTAAAAATTTTCTTTGAAACGCGGACAAATTCAATTTTTCTGCGAAGCATCACTTCTTCTCCAAGGCTCAAAAAGATAACTCTAGAAAATGGCAGAATCGATTGGGAATACATGACGATTTTTGGTATGTTGCCCAATCTTGAAGTGCTGAAGTTGCGCGAGTTTGCCTTCGTAGGCCCAGAGTGGAGACCAACTGAAGGAGAATTTCTCAAACTAAAATTCTTGCTAATTTGGGAGACAGATTTGAGGTACTGGAAGGCGAGCAGGACTAATTTTCCAAGGCTTGAGCACCTAATCCTCCGGAAGTGCTCAGAACTGGCATGGATCCCATATGATATTGGAGAAATAGAGACGCTTGAAATAATCGAGATAGATAACTCCAGTCCTTCCGCTGTGAAATTAGCAAAGTATATACTTGAGGAACAGCAAGACCGAGGAAATGGAGCCCTTGAAGTTCTTTTCCATCAAACAAAAGAAACATTGTGTCCGTTAAAATACGGGGTAAATCAATCCATCATCCTTTCTTTTTCCTTTTTTGTGTTATTTTTTAGACACATCATATTGATCACCAACGGCAACAGATCCAGCAAGATGAGTCAGGTCACTTCCATAGAAGGGAAACCAAACTAGATCGGTTAAGGGTAAATCAATTTTTCCATCCTATGTTTGTATGTTACTTTCTTAATATTTTGATTTTGTTTTTGATTAACCTGCCTACCTATCCAGAAAGAATCAGATAATCCCAGTGGAAGCAATACAAGATCAAAGGTAAATCAATTCCTCGTCCTATCATTGTATGTTACTTTCTCAATTTAGATACATCCCCACAAATCCCAAAATCTCTACCATATATAGTGCATTTGTATGTTACAACATTCTTCAATGACTTTTCTTTGCATTCTAGGCCCTGAAGATGGTCATAAAACTAGAAATGCGTGGTGAAAAAGAGAAAGCGAAAGCCATGAAATTAGTTTCTAGCTTTCCAGGTACTGAATTTTCTTTCATATTTCCTATTTTTGTTACCGTTTAGTACCCAATATCTTTTATTGTACAGATATGTTCCCAATAATCGTATTATTAATCTACCTCCTCATATAGGGATTCTCTCTGTGGCTGTTGACCTCGAGAATGAATTAACAGTAGTTGGAGATTTTGATCCATATAAGGTTGAGAAAAATTTGAGAAAATTATGGCCAACGGAAATAGTAACAATTGGGCCAGCAAAATAAGAAAAACTAAGAAATATCTTCTATTTATAATTAACCGCTATCTTTTTATTGGTTTAGTGATTAATTTTGTCTCAAAGTGACTTTTTGTTTTGTAAGAATATATATATCGTTAACTATTCACATTCATATATTTGTTCACATTGTGTGAGTTAACTATTCATGAATATGTTTGAAGAATGGCCTTATGACGTCATATAATGCCTCATTATGCAAAAAGTATAAATTCATTCTGAATGATCTAATTGTTTGGGTCACACTGTTTAAATTTCGATTGTTTCTCCGAATCGAATTGTTTGGAAATAGTTCGATTTAAGTTTCGATAGTTAAAAATCACTTGAAATCAAACTGAATCATTCTTCCTTTTAAAAAAAAAAAATTATTTGTTTAGTAATTAATTTTGTCTCAAAGTGACTTTTTTTTTTTGTAAGAATATATATTTGTTTTTAGTGACTCAAAAGAGTTTTTAGTGTACTAAGAAGTTTTACATATTTGTTCACATTGTGTAAGTTAACTATTCATGAATATGTTTGAAGAATGGCCTTATGACGTCATATAATGCCTCATTATGCAAAAAGTATAAATTCATTCTGAATGATCTAATTGTTTGGGTCACACTGTTTAAATTTCGATTGTTTCTCCGAATCAAATTGTTTGGAAATAGTTCGATTTAAGTTTCGATAGTTAAAAATCACTTGAAATCAAACTGAATCATTCTTCCTTTTAAAAAAAAAAAATTATTTGTTTAGTAATTAATTTTGTCTCAAAGTGA